TTTTATTTTAGATTCTTGAAGAACTTAATCGTGAAAAAGAAAACCAACAGCCACGAGCCTCGTCTGATGCAATGCAATTAGAAATGGAGCGCTTTGTTGACGGTCTAGTCGCATCGCCTTGTGCCTTTAGGTGATCCTTTTTAAGATTTTTAATTTATTCTGTGCCTGTTTTGATTTTTAAATGTCCTTAATTTTCGTATTTTTAAAAGTATCAAATGATTTTATGAAGGGATTCTTTTTGGAAAAAAATTTATAAAATTAAAGACATTTTTAGACAAGTCTAATTCTAATTTATTTATTTTTTCTGTTTATTTGTGACTTTTTAATTTTTTAATTCAATTCATTTTAATTTCTTTAAATTTTTAATTTATTTTTTTTCCCATCAATATGTATAATTTGTTTGTATTTTAAGACTATGAAATAAATATTTGAATACTAGCTTCTATTCTTTTATAGATAGTTTATGGATCTTAATTTTTTCTTTTATCATTTTTTGCATGTATTTTTTGAAGTTTATAACTTATTGGTACGGCTTTGGAAGAGATAAGTGTTTATAAACTTTGTCCCAATCTTTGTGAGTAATTTAAATATCCCGTCCCCGAAAGTTTTCCCTCATTTTAGCATTAACATTTTTATTTTAATATATTTATGTGGCGCATATTGATGAATCATTTTCTCTATTGGTGTTTGTCCGAATGCAGAAAAATTTTATAATACATGCCACTCTTAAATAGGGACGATTTATATTTCATTGATAGAGCTCGGCGAGAGAAGACGAACTGCACCAAAATCAACGAGCAGTCTCAATTATAGGCCGAGATATAGGTCCTTGAAAATTGAGGAACCATAGGGGGACCGATCTGAATGATCAAAATATCGAATACACTTCCAAAAGCACTAATTAAACAAGTTAAGACAAAGTTAACTAAGACAATTACGATACGGGGAGTCGGCGTGGCGCTGTAACGGCGCTGACTGGAGAGACTACGACGAATGGAAATAAATAGAAAAAGAGAGGAGAAATATAATACAATAGAGAGAAAAAGAGATTTAAAAACGTTGAGATTTAATGTCACGTTGACAAAAGCACTGTTCTGGCATTGTGTTCTTTAGAAAAAGTTGACCGTGATTAATTGATGATACCTATTAGTATTTAAATCAACTTTTCTCCTTTAGAAAATGTTTATTTGCAGTTTCCTAGTTTACGCAGGCTACAGCCCAAGTAGGCGCGCGGCCAAGTATGCGCAAAGCCATAACTTGCTTCAAGATTTTTGAATCTTCCAAAAGTTAGCATTAAACGATTCCTCTCATCGAGATAAAGAGATTGATTCCAAAATTGCTATAGTCCAGAAATTTTCCAGGTAGTTATGGCTTTGCGCCTACCTGGCCGCGCGCCTACTTGGGCGTGTCCTTTTACACATTTGCATAAGTAATAAAAAATCCGGATAGGCGTTTTTTCGCCGTCACTAAATTGTTCTTAATCTGCGATTAGTTGATGATGTTACGTATTGTCCATAGTTTAGCCACTAGATTAGAGATCGGCAAAATCGAACTTCCGGGATCCCGAGTCGAGACTTTTTTTAACCGACGCCGGGACGGGATCCAGAGGGAATCCCGAAAAAATCCCGGATCCCAAAAATCAAAAAAAATACGGGATTCGGGATCACGTCTCGCGCCGGTCTCTCCACTAGATATAAAATTAATGAAGCAATCTTTGCCTAAATTGTTTAATATTTTTTTACTACTTTAATTATTATTTTTAGAATCTTTAAATACCATTTTTTAAAAATGTCTACTTTGCAACCTAGGAAGGCGACAACCATAATGCAGGATGCTGAGAAAGCACTTGAGTTGGCTAAGGTTAGTGTGAATTGTTTACTTATCTTTGTAATGTTTATGGTTGTTAAATGATTTAGTTGTGTTTTTGAAAAGTTGTTTTTCAGAAACTCAACCATCATAGACAGATATTGTTCATAATTTAGAACTGATTGAATGGCATCAAAATTTTGTTTTGACAGCTTTCGATACCAGTTGACTCAGCTCGAATAAACCCTAAATTTTGAATTTTACACCGAATTCGACTTGGTCGAATTCGAGTCCGGGGTTTGAAATTAACAAATTCTAGAGCGAGCACTTTTTCCTCGTTTTTAGGGACTAATGAAGCAGAAGATTACCAAAAATCTTTGCTTAAATTGTTTAATATTTCTCATTTTTAGCTTCAAATCGGATCCACTTTGCTTGCGGAAAAGAAACAACCTGGGACTATTGATGTTGGAAATGGTCAGAGAGTCGTCACAAATGTATTTTTTTAATATTTTGTTTAAATTCAAAAAAATTTTTAGGTCTATCTCCTTGAAATGTCGAAAACAAAAGATTTATTTCGTTATGAGGTCAATGTTTCTGGAGTTGGACAACGTGAATTTGATTTGACTACTCGATCTTCATCAGAGTATTTTTTAAATATAATTAAATCACTAGTTTTTTTAAACTCCTCCAATACTCTAAAAGGAAGATTATCCATGAATATACTTCTTGTCCTCGTTTAATCATATTTTCTTTAGAGATAGAAAATTTTAAAAATCTCGATTTTTGATTCTGTTTGGTCACCCTGACCAGATCCTTGATCTTACCAAAAAAAGTTGAGGGTTTCCAGTTCCAGGCCGATCTCTAATTTTCTTTTTTTATATTTTTGAATTTTAAAGTTTTCTTTTTCAGCTATCGTAATGCTGTGCGTCGTCTTCAATGCTATTCTGTTTTGAGAGCTTTTAAGATTAAGCATGCTTCGGTTTTATCAAAAGAATGTCTTTATTATGATTGTGGGAGTTTCCTCATTTCAACCATTGATTTGAAAGTTCCAGTTGTAAGTTTTATTTTTAACTTAAGATAGGACTTTGTCGTAGGGGATTTGTCTAGGAAATTGGTCACTGAAACTTTGTGCTGGAATCCGGCCATGTGTATTTCCAAAATTTTTAAATTTTTCGCTTGCGGCGCTGAAAAATAAAAATATTTTTAAAAAATTTGCGTTCGAAACGCCAAAGTAAACGCAATTTTGGTTTACACCCCATTTTGCCTCCTCACTGTAATCGACCCCTGACTACACCCTTGTTATGTATGCTCTTTATTACTTTTAGTTTTAGAATTTTAATCAGATTTTTTTCCTTATTATATTAAATATAATTTTTCCAGCATGGAATTGAGGAGTTGTTTACGTTGGAGCAGATTAAACAACATTCTCCTCATTTCTTCAATGGCTTCGACTCATTTAGACTTAAAATTCGTCCGGTTCAAGATACTAAGAAATTGCTTAAACTGTCCGATTTTTCTTACGTCACCAACGATGCAGAGAAGATTGATCGTACAACTCAGCAGTTTTTGGATATTGCAACATCTCAGGACGTTTTTGATGATCCGTAAGTTTCGATTATATAATTATGATTTTTGTAACAAATATGTTTTCCAACAAAAAACATAATAAGAATTGCTTATAAAGAATTTTTAATCTCAAAAATCACCCAATTTTTCCACAGATTCGACACACTTTCCGTTATAGCACCTCTTAATTCTATTCCTGTTACGCCTCTGTGGTTGTATCTTAAAAAATTTAAAACCTAACCGATTAACTTTAAAACTCTTTAGCTTATTCTTCATTCATTTTATTTAATTTTTTTTTTCAGTTCACTTTACACTCATTTCTCAGCTTCTGATTTTTATTTGCTCAATCCCAGTTATTTTGGATTTACTGAACAGGATTGTCCTGTTTTCCCTAGTAATTCTTCATTTCTTGGAATTGGAATGCATAAGGGCATTCGCACTGTTGAAAATGCTTCTGGTATGAATCAAATGAGTGAAGCAATTGTTGCATCTGTAAAGAAGGTTTATTTAATTGGCTTTATTTTTACAGTGTTCTATTTTTTTCAAGACACCTTTTCATTTTGTGGAACTGGTCTCAGAGAAACTTTTGAAATTGCTCGGACCTCATTTTGCTTCTCGTATGAAGGACACTGAATGGGTTAAAGAACGTGTTGAAGGCTTCCTTAAAGGTTTAATTTTGAATAACTTTGAGCATATTTCCATACGATTCGACTTTGATCGAGTGGTTAATTGTGTTATTTTTATTAACATTTTTACCTTTTCAATTGGATTTTGTTTTCGGCTGTGTAAATTTAATAAGGTCCTTATTTGATCTAACATTTCTACCGATTTCAGTTAATCTATTATAATTATATTTTTCTAATTTTATTCTTATTCTTAGGTCTTTTTGTTGTAACTAATCATACTCAAAAACCTCGAGTATTCGAAATTCATGGATTGTCTACAACTAATCTCTACACTGAGTTCATTCAACGTGAAGGAGGCCCAAAAGTCTCTTTGTTTGAATATTACACGCAAACATATCACATTAACTTTAAGTAAGTTTTGATTTTTGTTTGTAAATAATTATGATTTAATTTAGATATCCTAATTTGCCTCTGATTGTGAATAAGTATAAAACTTTACAAAATACTGATGGAATTCGTTATTTTCCTATGGAAGTTTGTGTAATTCAAGACAATCAACGTGTTAAAACTACACAACAAGATCCACAAGCTAATAGAGTATTTTTTTGTTTATTTTCATTGCCTTACTTAATTATTAGGAGATGATTCGGAAGACGGCTATTCCGCCTGCGGAATTAAAGAAACAAAATGCTTATTTGAAGAATTCTCTTCAACTCGATGATAGTGAATATTTGAATGGTTTGGGAATTAAATGCCAAAAAGATCCCATTGAACTTACTTCTCGTGTTTTGCCGCCACCAGAACTCGAGTTTGCATCAAAGGCTAAGCAAGTTCCAAAGCTTCCCCGTTGTGTATGGAATGATGCTAATAAATATTTTTCTACTGCAACGTGTGGTAAATGGGTTGCTTTGGCTCTTTTTGGTACACAACAGGATGCTATCAATATGGAACAGTGGACGTATATTTTTTATTTAATTTTAAGTTATTTTTAAAAATTTATAGTGAATTTGTGAAGCGATTTCGCTCCGTCCTTGCAAAAAATCGAATGAACTTTGCCGAGCCTCAGATCCTTGTTCGCCAAGCAACTGGTGCGGATCTGAAATTACTCATTCAGGGGTACTATGAACAAGGGTTTGAGTATATGTTAATTGCTCACCCAGATAATGCAGATCAGATTCATCGTTAGTTTTAAATTTATTTTAGTATTTACTTTTTATATTTTTTTTCAAAGATGCCATGAAGTATATCGAGCAGAAAACCGAAGTCGTCACGCAGGGTGTCAAGATGTCGACAGTAAAGAATGTCATCTTTAAGGATCGTTTTCTGACATTGGCGAACATCATCCACAAGACTAATGTAAAGATGGGAGGACATAATTATACGATTTCTGTTTCTCCGCAATCTGAGTGAGTAACTAAATATTATTTAAATTACAATTATTTTTACAGTTTATTTCCAATTTTTGGGGGTAGTACTTTAATTGTTGGCATTGGTTCAAACCATCCAGCTGGGGGGTTAGCCACGCGAGCTGGAGTTGTGCAACCAACTGCAGAAGGTGACAAAAATGGAAACGGTAAGAATGGAAATGGAGGTAATGGAAATGGTGAACATGTACAACGCATAACTGTGCCATCTGTTGTTGGAGTATGTTTTTAGTTTTAGTCTTCATATTTTTAACATTTTAAGTTTTCTGCAAATATTGGGAAGAATAATAGTTTTGAGTTTGTTGGCGACTATTGTTATCAGGTTAATTACTATCTTTAGTTTAAAATGGTACTCTTGTGTTGGCTCCCGGACAATGCGTCAGTGGACAATTGTTTAGTGAAATATATCGGAGGATCTTAGGACATAAAGTGTTATTTGAAGGGATTAAGATGGAATTGATGGATTTATGGGGATTAAGAGGACCACGTTTCTCTTTTTCTTACAAATCCACGTTATCCTTTCAAATGCTCTGCAACTTTAAAATTGAATATATATTGTCCACTGATACATTGTCCGGATTATAAAATTGTCAAAGGTCTTTTGTTATTTTTGCGCAAAATTTATTAATTTCTTGCTAGACTAAATTTTTCATGTTCTATATTTTCAGGAAGCTAATCGTGATGAGAAAGTTACCATTATTGCGAACATCATCAAACGTTGTATAGTGCAATATGAAACGTTTAACAATCGCTTTCCGTGAGTTTTTTAAAATTAATTTAAAACCTCTATATATTTATAGGACTCGTCTTATTCTTTATCGCGATGGAAGTGGGGAAGGATCTTTTCAAAAGATTTTGAAATACGAAGTGCCACTTATCCACAATGCATTTAACGAGCATGGAATTTCTGCAAAGATTACTTTGATTGTGGTCAACAAAATGCAGGTTCTAGAATTTATATACCTTTTTTAATGCATACTTTTAACTTTTTTTAATGCAGTCTGTCCGACTTTATGCCAAAAATATTGATCAGCGTAAAAAATCTCCTGAACAGAATATTTTGCCAGGCACTGTCGTTGACAAGGATATCGTTCATCCACTTTGGACTGAATTTTATCTGAACTCTCATGTTGCTCTTCAGGTTATTTAAATTTTGATTATTTTTAGAAAAATATTAATAAACCTAATCGGGACGCAGTTTTAAGACTCCGTAAAGACTAACAATGATTTATATTTTCGAATTTTAAATTCCACTAATATGCTAATTCTTCGCTATTTTTGACCATTATTAGTCTATTATTCTAGTAAACCCTAGTAAGCTAAAAATCAGAAAACCCCGAAAAAATCAGAAAACCCCAAAGCTGAGTACAGCGCTGACAAAATATTTTTTCTCGAAAAATTCTACATAAATGCCATCAATTAAAATTATAGGGTACTTCGTCAACTCCACGTTATAATGTTCTTTTGGATGAGAACAATCTCTCTATGGACACTCTCCAGATGATGACTCATAGTTTGTGCTTTGGACATCAAATTGTCTACAGTCCAACGTCTTTGCCAACGCCTGTGATGGTTGCACTTGAATATGTTTGTTTCTGTTTATTTTTTGTACCTTTCTATTCGAAAAACTTTGAGATATTAAATAGTTTTTATTGCTTTAATATTATTTTTTAAGGCTAAACGTGGTCGGAACAACTATAATTATTGGAACAATTCGGGATCTGGTGAAAATCTTAATGGTGGCACCAATCTCGATCTCAAGCATCTGACTGAGCACCTTTCGTTTGAGAAGTCGGTCTTTTTGAAAAATTTGCGTGTTAACGCCTAAATATAATATTTTCTTTAATTTTTCTGACTTTTTTCCTTTAAAAAATATGGTATAATTTTAAATACAAATCACTTAAACGTAAATTTATGTATAACCTTTCAAATGCAAAACCAAATATAATTTATTTTAAATTGTTTTTTTTTCTGTAAATTTTGAATAAAGCGATAAATATTAAAAACGATTATAATATTTTTAATTAAAAAGTTTTTTAAGTTTAAATATATGCAGGGATCGTGCCGACCGATTCACTATTCCCGAAAATCTGGAATTTGGTTTTCTATCGGCGCGATCTCTGATATATTTAATAGAATTACAAAAACAAGAATTTACCCGAATATACTATATTGTTTGAGGAAATTTGTTAATTGATAAAAGGTATAGAAATAAACAGAAAAATGAGTGACATTGAGAGAATTAGGAATTCATGTAAGATAATTAAGTGACAAGGATTTTGTCGTCGTAAGGGAACCATAGAATTTTGTATATTAGGATTTTCCATTCCAATAATTCCGAAATAGATTTACGTTTCCATGATATTTTTCTTAGAATGAATTCCCTTTTGAGATAAAAGTAATTCAAATGAGCGAAAAAAAATAATTAAAAACATTATTCTAAATTTAAATAAATAAGCCAATATCCAAGATGAAAACAAACAAAAAATATAGGAAATGCAATTCTCGAAAAAAGATCTACATGTGATGCTCTAATTGAACATTTACCTAATTGGTTAATACTTTTTAAACTTTTTCTTCGTTCCTCTTCTGATGTTTGTTCACAAAAAGGAACAGCATTCTCTTCAGGTAAATACAAAAGGCAGCTAGGCCTACGTTGCTCGCCATTAATCGGCGATTGATGATGAGCAGAAAGAAAATAGCTACTAGGGCGGCGATTTGCTGAGAGTGGACGTTTTTCAAAAGTATTGAGACTTTGCCTATGGTTATTTAAAAGAGGTTGGCCTGCATTACAATTATCATTAGAATCTCCATTCTTTAAAAGAAATGGAAAAAAATTTTTTGGAAAAAAAAATAAATTACCGAAACATTTAAGGGAGCTGTTGAATATTTTCTACAAGAATTTCTAAAACGTTTAGAATGTCCATTAATATTTTTATTATTTGTTTGAATTTGTGTTGGGGGTGGGGGAGGAATAATAACTTGATCCATTCTTCTTAAAGTTCCATCTTCCAATTCAAAAAAGCAGACTGTAGCTGTAGACGAACGAGGTAATAAAGCTGTTGCTGGTAAAATTGACGGTCTTCGAAGGCTATGTCTTCGTCGACGTTGTCTTTTCATTAAAAAGCCAACGGTAGCATATTCTAATAGACTTGCAAATACTTTAAGAAAAAACAAAGGATTAAAATATTCTTCTATGGGATTTTTAATAAAATTAATTATAGTAGATTTTACTGAAATTCCCTCAACGTCTTAGTTTTGAATTTTAATTTTCGTTTTATTTATTTTCATTATTAATAAATAGTAATTTCAATTATCAATTAAAAGAATATCCTCCTTACCAATAAAAAAACAGACACCCAAAAATATATCCAAACTCTTAACATAAGAAACTTTAGGTAAAGAAGCATTAGTTGATGTCATTAATGTTGTTTGTGTCAAAACTGTAGTTACTCCAATAGTTACACGAGCTTGTGTAGCTTCCCGATTTAAGAAAAAAGAAACCCAAGAAATAACAACAATTCTTTAAAAAAGAAAATAAATTTCAATAAATAAAATAACAACTAACAAAGATGAGGGAAAATAAATTTGTATTAAATAAAACCCCAAATTTCTTTTAAAAGTAAAATATGCAGTTAGTCTTGAATAATTTCCAGTACTTAAAGAAATTGTTCTTTCAATTTGATAAAACCCTCCAATACTAAAATGGGCTAAATGAACATCATCGTCGATAGTTACAGGGAAAGAAGAAGTATTTTCTATTTGTTTCCATTGGTAAATAATATCACTTGTACTATAGCCATAACTCTAAATATTTTTAAAATTAAATTTTTAGATTAGAGATCGGCTTGAATCTGAATCCAGGCCTTGATTTTTCCTGGATCCAGAGTTCAGATCAAGGCATTCTTCAGCGTTAGTTGACTTTTCCTTGACTCAAGGTCCTTGATCTGGTCAAGGTCATCATATAAAATCAGGGATCGAGGTTAAGGTTTTTTAAAATTTCCAATCTCTATAAATTATATTTCAGTAATATATTTTAACAGAAAATATTTAATTTTTAATTAAGCAAACCTCAATTTCTAAAGGACAAACTTGTTTGTCTAATGGAAACTAAAAATAATAATTAATTAGAAAAATAAATATTAATTATTCACAGTATGTAAACTCATTGGACAATTAGCTGTAACAGTTAAACGAATACTTCTTAAAACATTACCTATTTAAAATTATTTTAAATTAAAAATTAAAAATAATTTTTAAATTTCCCACCATTACTATCAATTCTCAAAAAAGAATTGTGTGAAGTTGTTTCGTGAAAATAAGATTTCTTTTCGCTTAAAAATTTAATTAAATTTAAAATTTTGACGAAAAAAACTTTGGGAAAAACGTGTCGGGTGTCCATATAGATTTAACCATGTCTATACCGACAGTTAAATTTTGATGAGCAAGAATTCCACTAAAAGCTAATCTACTGTCATGCCAAAATTGCCGTAAATATAAATCCAATGTATAATCCTTTTAAGAAAATTTTTAGAAAATTCAGAGTAATTTATAATTAAAAAATTGTTTTTTTAATAAAATTGTAAAATCAAAAATTATTTTTAAATTCAAAGATTAGGGTTTTTAAGATTAGAGTGGTTCCTGGGAAATTTTTCGGATATCCGAAACCGAACCGAAGAACCGAACCGAAAAATCTTAGGTTCTTCGGTTCGGTTCAGAATCCACAACCCTATTCAATATTGTTCTAGTTTATATTTAAAACAGGGTGGCCCTTTCCAAAACACTAAAATAGGGCGCAGCCACTCAAAAATAGGGCAAAAATAGGGCAAAATTGGCCAAAAATAGGGCAAAAAATAGGGCATTATTTAAAAATATTAAAAATAATTGAAATTTCAATTAAAAAGCTTTATTCGAAATTTTTTACCTAGGTTTAACTAAATGAGCAAATGGAGGGATATAGGGGGATTTTGAGCAATTATTAATGGAATTGGGTATAACAGAGTTATCTAAGGGATTTAGGAGCAAGAAAGTTATCTAAGATGGATAAGAGGTTAGAAACTTGTAGTTATCTAGGGATTTGTGAGGATTCGGTGTATTTGGGGGTAGTAGAAACATCGTGTATGTTTTACGTCCAATTTTGGTGGATTAAATGCTGGGATTGGGGGATTAAGAGAGATATCTAGGCACTTGGGAATTAATCCCCCGATGTCCCTTCATATACCCTTAATTATTATAAATTACATTATATCCAACTTAGTCTTCTATCCACCCTAATCCTCGCATGCACCATTAATCTCTCAAATCCATTGATATCTCTCATTGATATCTCTCTTTATCATACAAATCCCTCGTTATCCAGTCAGACCTCCATAATCCTAGTAAATCCTCTTAAATCGTCTATAGTAAAATCTGCCTATATTCCACTCAAGCCCTTCCAATCCCTTAATTTTACACAAAGTCTTCACAGATTCTTCCTTTTTTAGCGCCGCAGGCAAAAATTTTGAAAATTTTGTAAGGCCAAGAAGCCAGATTTCTTTGTTTTTTTGCGCCGCAGGCGAAAATTTTAGGAATTTTGGAAGGCCGTGATGCCAGATTTCTTACTTTTTCTGCCATTTCATTTACGAAATTCTAAAATTGTAAAAATTTTACAAAATGGTAAAAATAGGGCAAAAATATGGCAAATGTAAAAATAGGGAAAAAATAGGGCGGAAAGGTCGAAAATAGGGCAAATGCCCTGTAAATAGGGCAAAAGGGCCACCCTGATTTAAAACAAATTAAAGATACTATAAAGGATAGAAATTAATTAGAATATTTCTAAAAAATATTTTGAGGGAAATATTTAAAAAATATTATTTTTTTACCATAGAAACTTCAGAAATAGCACTTATTGTAATTACATGAATAGTTACATTAACTATAGTTGGTGGGCCTTTAAAAAATATTTTTTGATAAAAATAATTATTTTTTTAAAACCTCCAAAATTAGGCCTTATTCTTCTATCATGACTAGCAATTAATGCATTTAAAATTCGTGTCATATTTGTTTCCAAATTTGTATCATAAACACTTTAATTTTTAAATTTATTTTAAATTTATCTCTCAATTATTTTCCAAAAAATATTTTCTATTTTTAGTAATTTTTAAAAAAATTTTTCAATAAAAGAACATTTCCTGTTATTAAAATATTATCAAAATAATTGTAAAAAAATATTTAAAAATAAGGAACAGCGTGAAAAGTGTTTAAAAAATATTTTTTTAGTTTACAGAGAAGATGAAAAATAAGTTATGTGATGAAAAAATAAAATTTCGAGATTTTATTTTTTAAAAAATCAAATTTTAAATTTTATTTAAAAAATTGTAGTTTTCTTTAATAAAATGAGAATAAATGAAGAAAAAAAGGTTTTTAAAAAAAAAAAGGGGGGGGTTTTAAATTGTTGAGGAGAAAATATTTAATTAATTTATTTATTAAAAAACAATATAAATTTTTTAGAACAATATTGAGTGAATAAAAGAGAGAAAGAATGAGAAATTAATTTTCTTAGGTTTTTTAAATTTAATTTAAAAAAAAATTATATTTACCCAACAGTTGGATGGATGTTATTATTATTTTCTATATTTTCTCTTTGTTTTCTTTTTCCAATTTTATTTTCAAACTTTTCTTCATTTAAATATTCTTTTGGTTTTGAATTAATAATTGTTGAAGTGCCAGAAATTGCCTTTAAAATAAATAAAAATAATTTTAATTTATTTAAAGAAAACCAACCAAATTTAAAAAATTAGAAGAAGTTTTCAGACAAAAAATAAATAAAAACATTTGTAGAATAATTAAAAGTTGATAATTAATTTTAATTAATTTCATTTTTATTTTTAAATAATTAAAAACATCTTTTCTTTATTAAAGTTAAAAAAATATTTTTTTAAGAAAATAATTCTTTTGTTTCTTCCAATTGAAGTGTAAACTTTAAAAAAATTTATTTTTCAATTCTTAAAAAATAAAAAAAAAAGCAAACAAAAATTATTAATAACATAATACAATCACATATATTTGTTGTACCAATTATTGACATATATTTGTTTTAGTTTAATTTTCAACTTGTCTTAATTTATTTTTTCAATCCATATATGTATTTTCAAATTTGTAATGTCGCCCAAGTGGCAAATAAATAAATAAATAAATAAATATTAAAAAAATCTTCATGAAATGAGAGAAAGGAAAAAAGTTTTTATTAAAAGAAAAAAAAATTTTAAGAAAAAAGGTCAAAATTGATTTTATTTAAATAAAAATAATAAAAAAATTTTTAAATTAAAAATTATTAAAAATTTGTTTTAAAAAATTGAAATTAAAAAAATTGAATAAATAAAGAATATATTTTCTATATTTATTTTTTATTTTTCATTTAATATTTTATAAAACAAAAAGTACATACTTTACTACATACATAAATACATGTGTTTTTAATATCAAATTTCAATAAAACATGAAAAGTAAAAAAATTATTAAAGATTTTTTGTTAAAGAGTTGCAGAGTTTTTTTATAGAAGTAATTTATATCAAAACAATAAATTATTACATATTTCTATAAAAACAAAGAAAAGAAACAAAGTTGGAGGATTTTTTAAATGAAAAGTACAAAGGAAATTTAATATAAATATTTTAATAAAAAATATCTAATATATGTTTAATTCTGGCATCGAAATTTTGAATTAAATATTTAAAAATATTTGTGAGAATTTATTTTTCAGAAAAATTCTCCACAAGACTGTCCTTTTAATTCCTTCGTTTTTAAATTTTATCTTCCTCATTTTCTCACGAAAGGAAGAAGAAATTTTAAATTTATTTTAAATAAACTTTGGATAAAATATTTAAATTAATTTTAAAATAAAAGAGGATTCGATAAAGAAAAAAGAAAAAATATTAAATAAATAGACTTCAAGTACAAACAGAATTTTCAAAAAATATTTTTACATATAAATTTATTTATAAGTAAAAAAATTATTTTTTTTTGAGTTTTTAACCACCGGAAAATGTCAATTCACAAATAATTTTTTGCATCCAGTTTTTATTTTTCTATTTTCTTATCCCGCTTTTACATATTTATTTTTTAATATATTGACCAATAGACCGGAATAAAAAAAATAAAGTTTAAAATAAAGAATATTTAAAGAAAAACAAAAATGCAAAGAAATAAACGAAGAAAAAGTTGTCAGAAAATTAAAAATTGAAAGTATAAATAAATTTATTCTATAAATTATTTTTATTTAAAATATACTTTATTATTTAAAATTAATGAAATTTAATTTTGAAAGCATAAAATAAATTTTTCTAAATTTATATTCAGATCTTTTTTTAATATTTTTTAACAACAAAATTAAATATTTAACCTTTCCTAAAAATACAGAATATTTTTTTAAAAATTTCCTAAAAATATTTTTATTTATTTATTTTACCAAACATTAAAAAATGTCAAAGACGTAATAATAATAAATGCTTTTTAAACGTTTAAATATACAAAGGAAGTCATTTTTCTTATAAAATTATTTTTTAAAGCAAAATTATTTATTTATTAAAGTACTTAAATATTTTTAAATAAAAATTGTTGTATGTACTATTTTTATTTGAAGAAAAAAATAATTTAAAAAAGAAAATAAAAAAATATTTAAATGTTTAAATGTTTGAAGAAATGTCAGTATTCTTAGATTAATTATTCTGAATCCAAAAATATTTGGTATTCCCAATTTTAGACACATTTGAAGATTTTAAAATTAATAATTTGTAAATTAAATTATAATTTTTAAAATTATTTTTTTATAAGAAAATACTGAACAAATAAATATATAATTTAGAATATAAAAAAATTTGACTTATTAGAGTATATTAATTTTAGTTTAATAAATACAATAGAACAGAATTTCAGAATTTATTAGTTTATAATAAAATTCTTTAATATTTAAATTTAAATATATATTTAAATTAATTTTTTGAAAATTTCCTTCTTATAAATATTTAAATATAAAATTGTTTCCGAATTTAGACAAAAAATTTAAAACAAAAAGTTCATTTGTAAAATTAAATTTTGTTGTGTGCATTTCATGGTTAAAGGAAGAAATATAAACAAAGAAATAAAAAGAATAAATAAATGAATATATTCTTGGAAAATTTGGAAGAAATTGAAACAAAGAAATAAGGAGAATTTGGAAGTTCTTTACCACATTTTTTATTTTGAGAAGAAAAATATCTCTAATTTGATAATAAGAATAATAGTGTTAATATTAGCCAGATTTAAATGGATTATTTAAATTTGAAAACTAATATAAGTAGTTTAGCAAATTATCATAAGACCGGCTAAGTTTCTTCGTAGCATGGCAAATAAAGCAGAAATGAGCAAAAATTGAAATAAACAGTAGGGGGTGGAATGGTTGAACGGTTAACAACTTAGAATCGGAGAGCTCTCATGATCCAAAATTTTTTCTGGGATAAATTCAGCCGTTTTACACTATTTTATCAAATATCTAAGAAATGAAAGAAAAAACTGCTTAAAAATATTTTTTATTATTATATTTAACTACATAATCCATTATAAAGAGAAGAATGCACATATTTATAATTTAGTAATTTATCATTGTTTTTGAAAAGAAAATTTATTTTAAGATTACTATTTTAAGTAAACTCGTGTATACACTAAAATAACATTAAAATAAAAACTGAGTAGTAAGTTATAGCCAAAATTTAGTTTTGTAATAAGCAGGCTGTGAATTTTAGTCAAATAAAAAACGCCAAATAAGCGTCTAAAATAGGCAAAGAATCTTAAAATGGTAAACATAAAAATAAATCCTATGGTCTAACTGACAAAATAAAGTTAAGTCGAGTGTCGACATTTCACGTATTTATTTTAAAAATTAAATTTTTTATAAATTTAAATTTTTCGTTAATATTAATTATATAGTGCAGGACTTTAATTTTCAAATTGTCGAATTAATTAAAATTCATTTAATAAAGTTTAAATGTTGATAAATTAAGATAAATTAAAGCAATATTTATTTTTGAATATATATTGAATAAATATATTCAAATAGGTCGAATCTCTTTAACATGGTACCCGAGGGATGCCATGCCAGTGAGATTAGACTGTATTTAATGTAAATATTTAATCAAATTTAAACTTTTAATTAAAGTTAATATTTATTATTTTTTTTCAATATAATTCGTCCAATTTAATTATTTCTGCAAAGCCTTCTCGCTTTTCAAGTCCAGCAACCTTTAAATAAAAATATAAAATTTAACTTTAAACAAACATTAATATATTGGATAACTTTTGGTGTCACAACATGTTTATAATTATGAAATTCTCCACCAACTTTATATCTCCATCTATAATCATCTTTTTTTACGATAATATTTAAATTAAAGTTTCCTCCAATAACCGATTTAAATCCATGTTTATGTACACATTTTCCATCTTCTGTTATATTGTGGCAACCTTCATTATTCCATTGGTGACGCTTAAAATCAGTTAAATTAATCTTGGTATATTAGAGCTTCGAACTTGAATTTTTAAAAATCCGCATTTTATATCAAAAATCCGCATAAAATTATCAAACACACAAAAATAAACCTAATTCTCATTTCAAAAAATGAAATGAGAATTTTTTTTATTAATAATGCAATTTTTATTACTAAATTGCATTTTTTTTGCACTGCAGACGAAAATTTAAAGGATTATGGGAGGCCTTAAGACAACAAATAGATTTTGTTCTAAAAACTAAAAGAAAATATAAAAAATCCTCATAATTTTCAAACGATCACATATCGGAGTTCTGAGGTGAGGAACCTTAAGTGAGGGAACAAAATCTCTTGCTGATAGTATGTCTATTCAAAAAATTCATAAATTACATACATAGAATGTTCCCATATGCACATATTCTTTGGTAAAATTAAGTTGAAATATAGTACTCCCAACTTAAATTTAATATTTGTATAAAACGTATCTATTTTTTCATAAAATTTACCTAAATGATGCCATTCTAAAGCATTATACAAAAATGAAATAGAAATATTTTCGTTTATTATTTTTCCATTAATTTTTATTAAACTTCCATCTTCTAGATGATTATCCTTTGGAACTTGAATTATGTTGGGAGGATAAACGTTAGGTGTAATTTTTGATTTACATTTTTCAGAATTATTTCCAAATTTCACATTATCAATATCACCTTTTACCTAAAATAAAACTTAATTATGAAAAATTTTAGAAATTTTTTTCAGATATAACTGTACTAAATAAATTTTTCATATATAACGGTACTAAATAACGGTACTAATAACGGTTAGTACCGTTATTTATGAGAGAGGATGGGAGAAGGAAAAATCTGAGACAAATATTTGCGGACATGTGGCGGTATAATGCGATAATAACACTACCGGTTAGCTATTTGTTCGAACTAAAAAGTTTTCGTTAAGTGATGGAGGCAACTATAGGGGTATTTTGGGAAAAATGAAAAAAGAGGAAAAAATAAAAGACCCTATAACCCAGTTTTCGATTCGCTCGTAAATTCTTTTATCAAATATATTACGATTTTAATTGCAAAATTACCATAATCCATTCAGTAGCCCAAATCGGTAGTGGCGTTTCATAACTAATATGGTCAATAGCTTCGTTAATAATTATATTAAAAGTTTTGTCAACTATATCAATCCGTAACGAAAAATTAACTCCAGTTTGTCCTAATGGATTTGGATATGTTATTTCTCCTTGCCATCCCCAATCTTCATTGATAATATCGCCAAATGTTTCTGTTCGTTTGTGAATGTAGCTATTCATAACGAGTTTTTGATTATTGGAACTATCTATACTTTTATTGTAAATCTCAGTGTCGAATAAAAATTCAAGTTTGAGGACAGTGTCACCAACTAATTAAATTTTAAATTAAAAATAAATAATATAAGAAAACCCTACTTTTTTCACTAAATTCATAAAAATCATGAAAAAGATTAACTTCAAAAAATCCCTTTTTAGCATCGCCCAACAATTCTTTATTTTTAACAAAAGCTTCAAAACAAAAAATTGTCCCATTTTGTTGTAATTTATCAAATTTATATTTATATAATGAATTATCTGTATTTTCAGGCAATCTGATACTTGGAGCACGAATTAATTTAACATTATCATTAACCTATAAATCATATAAAATTAAGAATCTAGAATATTTAGAAAACAAAATATAGTCAAATTTAGTTGAGGGATTGAATACCTAATTGTTTCTAAATGATCTCTCAAAATGTAGAGTATGAGAGGTGAATCAACTTGACTAAATACCGCGGATTCGTCCGACCTCAGATTCGTCCCCCTGAACAAAACCAGCGGATTCGTCCCACTGGACAAAAACCTCAGATTCGTCCCCCGCGGATTCGTCCCCCTGAATAAAAACCGCGAATTCGTATAAAAACCGCTCGACATGCCCGGCTTCCTCCGCAACGGTAAAAACTTTCCCGCGAAGGCAGGTCAAACTGATTTTTGGGGCCAAAAATAAAATATACAAACTATAGCTCATGCGAAAGGGCTCGTTTTTATAAGTCAATAGACACCAAGATCAGTTTTATAGTTGTGCTGCGTTCAGATGTGCGCGCTTTGTGTGGTGCTCCGGTTTCTGTTTTATTAAATTCTTATACATAAGAGCGCAATGAGTTCAGACAATATTTAGTAATGTGATAAAATAGCAAATAATTTTCTTAACATAGTACATAATTTAAAAATCATCAAAATGTCTTTTAAGGTAATTTGATTTTACTTTGTCAAATATTTGTTTGAGCAATTGAAAAATATCAAATTTTTTCAAATATCAAATAATTTGATCAAGATTTCATTTTGTCATTTAGATGATCTCTAATAGTGTCAGCCGAGCAGACCCTATTACTGTCTTTTGCGGATAAATGGACAGCATTTAAACATTTAACTTGTTTTTAAAGTAAAAAACCTATTAATTTTACGAACTTAAAAAATAATTCAAATAAAAATAAATAGTTACCAAAATATGGTTTATTGCAGAAACCGGTACATTCCCCACTATAAAGTCTTGAAATTCTCCATTCATGGAAACATTAAATGTGAAGTTATTTGTTTTTGGCATAGACAAAAGTTCAATCACACATTCAAAGGTTCCATTTAATGGTATATGTTTGGCATCTTTCTTGTTCGACTAAAGTTAAATGGATTTTTGTTATTAGATAGATTTTTAGGGAATGTCAAAATATGCACAGAAAATTACTAAATATGCGCATATATGACAAAATATGCACTAAAAATAGCGAAAATTTCTTAAGAAATGTTTATTTACCACTAGAATAATTTAATTTCGCCTTTCACAATTGCAAATTAAGAATTTTTCTAATTTTTCTATTCTCAGCCAAAATATTCTTGTAAGTCGAAAACTCATTTCAATATGTATCTTTCGATGTCAATGGAGCGAATTTTATAGCAGAAATCATGTTAGAATCCATTTGAATTTCTCCTCCACCTTCATATAAAACTTCAGCAACCTAGCTTAATTTGAGTAGTACTGGACAGGGCTGTGCGTCATGGCGTTCTGACGTGGCGTTTGGCGTACATTTTTAGCCGATTTTAGATAGATTTTTCGCCTGCGGCGCAAACGGGAAGGGGGGTGTTGTATCCTGCACAACAATAAATAAGCAATACAATATTTTTAGTTAAAAGCTTAACCCAATCTTCTTCTAGAAATATGGTTCCAGATGTAGTGTAGCTGATCTGCATTATTATAACACCAACTTAATTAAAAATAGATTTTTAGGCTTTAAATAAATTGGGCTATAGTGAACTACATTCATATTTAAAAAATATTAATAAAATACCTATTTATATTCTAATAATTTTAATATGAATTCATTTTTCTTGCATGAATAAATTAATTTTCATAAATTTTAGTGAGTATGAATTTAATAAATATGTATGTAAAGAAATAATATGAAATGTTAAAAAAACTTTACATCTTTTTTGTGCTGCTATATAGTTTGATGTACCATGAAGAAGTATAATCTGAAACTTTTGTTCATATGAAGATTTATTTTTGAAATTAGTAACACCACGAATAATAATTTTCGTTCCATTTTGGACATCATTATTTTTAATTTCCGCTCCATAAGGTGTATTAAGTTCAGTAAAACGCTGCATTAAATTTATATAATTTATAGTCATGGAAAAAATAGGAACAAAGGCTGTTTAATCTCTTTTTGATTAGATTTTAGAAAAAAATTTTAGAGAAAAAAGGAAACAAGTTTTTTTAATTTAATTAGTTTGCTCCTATACATTTTTCTACTCAAAAATTGGAATTATTGTTTAAAAATTTATTGTAAAAATTTTGTCGATAAATTGTATGATCTTAATAGAATATATTTTAAATACCAATTAAAGATCTACAATTTTTGTGTTGAAATATTTTGCTAAAAGTTTATCTAAAAGAAATAAAAAAGCTAATTTAGCAGCCTTTGTTCCTATCATTTTCCCATGATTATATTAAATATACTGAAAATTTAAGAATAATTTTACAATTAAAAATTAGAAACATGGATCAAAAATAAAAATGGTAAATGCATATAAATGTTTTATATCTTATAAAATATTAGTTTAGATACCTCTTTATTATATGTATCGTAATTCCCCCCTAATATGTAGAAACGCAGCGGTTATACATATTATATTATCCCCTCTAAATTCTGTGCTAAACTTCCAAATGGTTAATAGAATACATATGTATGTTAAAATCTAATTAAGTAGGGACTGCAAATTACTACATATATTATATTTTCTAATTCATTCACCAAAAATTTTCTAAAATAAATTTATATGCATAACACCAATTCAATGAAAAATCACTCGGAGCCGGTCGGGGATGAGAGTAAACACTAATTTTGAGTTGAATTTTAGCGACTTTATTCTCCCTATTAATAATAGTAGAAGCTAAAAGGCAGAAGATTAGGTTAACCAAAGCTCATTAAAAAATTTAAAATATTACAGTTGGAATATTAGTGTGTCGTGATTTAACTTTCCAATTACCATCAATATGTTTAATATGTCCAACACTAATAACACTAATTGGTATGAAATCTCCATTAATTAACAAATCTGCCTCAATATTTCTATCAAATTGGTTTTCCGTTTCCCACCATTTATTTGGCCAAAATATATTATGTGCGGTATAATAACTTTGATGTTTTAGTTCAATCCATAAATAATATTTCTGTATTAAAATAGTAATTGCTACGTTAACACCAGGGGGAATTGATTTAATAGATTCTTTCGATGGATTTGTCCAGTTGCCTTCAATCTGCAAAATATTTTGTTTCTTTATACTCTAATTAGATTAAAAGGTTTATATGTTTTTATTCCCAAGAATTTGTTATTAAATATTCTAAGCACTTATTTTGAGGAAATGAAGAAGAATAACATTCAAAAATTAGCAAGAGATTAAAAGTAGAGTTGGCGGATTCAGATATCTGGGTCCGAAAATAGTCAGGATATCCGGGGATTTCCAGTATCTGTTAACCCTAATTGGATGAAATTGGTCTTGAGAGTTAACCAATCGAGGTTATCTACTTCCTCTTTGTCAGTACTACAACCACCACTGATTGACTTAAATGGTTATTTCAAGCATTTAATTATCTCAAGCATAAAATAAATTGTTTTTTTAAAATAAAATACATTTATTGTTCTCCAGTTAACATTAGTTGAGCTTATTTCAACAATTAAAGAAGCATTTATATTTAATAAATTCAACTCCATTTTCTCTTTAATTCCTATTTTATCAGTCATTATGTAGAAAAATACTGCTTTTTCAAAAATTTTACCCAATTTATATTTTTTGTTTGTAAAACTAAAACGTTTTTCACAATGTTTTTCTTGATAAGTATTTAAATTATTTTTAAAAGGTGTTTCTGCAGTTATTGGTGTTGTGAACTGAAAAATTATTTTTTTATTAAATCTGTTACTTATCAGAGAAACTGAGGATACAAATAAACATATTATCTCATTTTATAGTTCAAAAACATTTTTATGATATTGGGATTTAATTCATTCATAACCTTCATTAAATCTCTAATTCCTTCAATTTCCAATTAATTTCTCTAAAAAAACTCTACCCTAGCTTGTAGAGCACAGGAACATCCTCTATAAACAAATAAATGAATATATCTTTGTGCTCTAATTGGCAATAAATCCATTCCAAGTGCCCACAAACCAATATATTTATATAAATAAGCACCTTTATTTATATTTAAAAGAAATTCTTTTTGAAGATTTTCTTCTTTCTTTTCAATCTCTTTGCCTTAATTTTATTTTAAATTAATTCTAAAATTAATTTTATACTTTCATTTCCAGCAATTAGTAGACGTGTGAAGAAATTATTTTTTTGATTTAATTCCAAAGAAAAGTTATTTACAGCCTCGAATTTATAGCTAAAATTTAAATAAAAATTATTTGATTAAAAAATAAAATTAAGTAACTGTCCCTGGCTTAGATTAAAATAAACTTTCGGAAAAATAGGAGAATTATCAATAAAACACATCGTTTTCTCCTTTCTTCATAAAACTTTTAAAAAATCAGTTGAGAATTTTCTATAAATTTTAATGGCTTAATATTAACTAAATAAAAATTATTTTGAATTTTATAAAAGATGTAAAAATCCGAACATTTTATTTGAAATAGACAACAAAATTTTTACAAAAACAATTCCATCTTTATTTTCAGTTTTAACAAGTATTCCATGCCATCGGCAATACGCAACATTTCCGGGAGAACAAATTATTTTATTTTTTGGATCAGAACAAAATTCTTTCCTTTTATTTTCACAGCGATCCGTAACTTTGTTCTTTTTAAAAATTTAAGAAATTTATTTTGTAATTAATTTATATAAAAATAATTAAATTATTTAAAATTAAAAATTACTTTTTTGCTCCCAAAACGATAGGGAACTGTAAAAATTGTCCCATTTTTCTTATTTTCTTTACTCAACTGACTTGGATAACAAATCAAAAATCTAAAAAGAAATTTAAAAATTAATTTTAATTTTTAAATAAAAATCCATTTTTACCCGTCCGGTTCGCAAATAAATAAAGTTTCGAGAAAAAATTGCAAAGAAAAATTTAAATGTTTCTTTTGTTCTGGACGTGGCATACATTGGTCGTAAATTAAATAAGGAATTGTGTAATGATTAACTCCATAATTACCCAACACATAACTATAATTTTTTAGATAATTTTTAGTTTAAATTTATATTTAATTGTTAAGTATCAAAATATTTTGTTATGTTGAGGTAATTAAACTCAAATGAATTTTATTTTTATTTATTTTAAAATTATTTACGGTTCATTATCTAAATCTGTTTCCGTATTCACATTTTTAACAACATCTTTAGCTTTAAACTTTTTGACAAATAAAATAAAAATTGTTAGAAAAATATTAAAAATAATTTGTTTAACCATTTTTAG